GCCTGAGGGAGAGGATTCGAGAAAGGATATGCGCCAGTGTTGCCTGCACGAAAGCAGGCGCCCGCTCTGTTGCAACTCTGTTGCTCCATGCGCCTTTCCTCCTCTCGCCTCTCATTGCAAGCAACGAGCGCCTTGGCGCAGCCTCTCTCGCTTCCTTCTCGCTCCGAGAATTGCAAACGTCGCGCGGAGAAAACAAGGTTGCCAGACAAGCAGCAACGTCCAAGATGGCGGAATTTACCATTTTTCGCGTTAAAAAAATACTTAACCTATCGCAACAAAACTGGTGGCTATGGAAAATTAATCATTTATACCTTGTGTAAAATATTCAAGCACCTTAATGGGCTTTTATGACCCGAGTTAGGAAAGAAAACGACCCTTTGCCCCATAGACTACCAGCAAAATTTAGCAATTAAATGGCGTCCATGTCCCGTGATCGCCGATCTAGCAGTTGCACCCACCCTCACTTGAGCTAGAGCACTATATAGCTCCTACGGAGCAGAGTAGCGCAATCCTTTGAACCCCGTGTTTTGCCGACAACATGGCCGACAGAGCGGCTCGGCGCGAGTCACGTGGTACTCAGGGTTCCAGGAGGCGGCCCGCCCTATGGGAGAATACATGGAGATCGACATAACACGGCTGATTAAAAAACTAACGGCGAGTTCACATTTTTCAAAACTAGCCTGTCGTGAAGTTAGTAAAGCGCTAAACACTTTATCAAAGTTTTAATAATATCGGATGCGTGTGCAAATTTTGAGAAGGCAATTTCCGAGGCAATGGCGTTTGAAGCAGACGATTTTTGCTCGCAGCGGAGATGGGCTTTTCGGGTTGGCCGGAGCGGGTCACGTGAATGGTGTGACGTCGCCGTGTCGTCTGCTGCATGATGCCGCTCAGGCAATTTTTTAAAAAAAGTTACGTCCTTGTATGGCACAAAACTTATCGCATATTATTCTAAAATGTTTCATTATTATGTCAAAAATGATTTCCATTCCGCACATCCCCACAAAACTGAAGAAACAACGATTTTCTCACGTTCCCCATGCATTTCTGACCGCAGTTGGAACCCCCGGGCGTTCGCCGCTAGTCGCCGAGAGACGGCGTTCTAGATTGCGCTACTCTGCTCCGAAGGAGCTATAGTGCTCTAACTTGAGCCTCCCTATATTGAAGTTGAGCTTGTGACGCCATCTCTCAATCGGCACAAAAAAAGGTACGTGCTTGACAGACGACACTTCAGTCGTCTGCTGATTGGCATTTCGGGAGATGGCGCCACAAACAACACTCTAATGTAAGCTGCTTTTAAACTCTAGGCCTTGAACTGTAGTAAGGTCCCTAAACTCAAGACTTTAGTAAAGCGACCACGACCTCAGACTTTTGCACTTGGCTTTCGTGCGACTCTATCGTTGTTAATTTTTTTTTTTTTTTACGCCTAAATTTGCATAAGGAAAAATCCACCACTACAAAGTATGTCTTCGAGGAAAGTTTACGATCGTTACGTGCAGGCGCTTGGGGGTATTTCTCTTTATTTCTATTATTAATAGTTCGTTTTCGAATTATAGGGGATTTGCCCTGAATTTATCTGTCTGAGTGTGTATTTTTTGGCGATATAAATGATCCGCCCTTGTTTAATTCTCAAGGGTCGACAAAACGGCCGACCACTTCCTCCCTCCCAACGCCCAAAATCAGCATCCCCTCCCCAAGAAATATTCCTGGAGGTTATGCAAGGTTATGCCACTCACTCCAGCGACATAGCAACCTTTTCTTCAAACCCCTGATTCAAACTGAAGAAACATGTTGATGGCTTGTTTCGACGAAATTGGATGTACAAATATAGTTAATTTATTACGAATGAATATTCTGTTGAAACTTTGCACTTCAACACAGTGGCGTCACAAGTACGGGTGTCGCGAACTTTTGTCGAACAAGATTTTTAGTAATAGCGAGTTCGTTTCACACGCACTGGCACCGTTCGAGTTCTCTCCCAGAATGCATCGCACTCGCAGAGTGTTGCACGGAGAACTGGACTCAAACGAACTCGCCAAATGCACCGAGTGCAGAAGACTGATGCTGCCGCCATCTATGTTGTAGAAAAGGTACCGACCTCAAACCGAAACTAGCGCCTTTGTGTTGTGAGTGATGGGTGGGAATGCGAGAGTGCAGTCACTACCAACGTTTATCTACAAACGTTGAACGCTGCAACCTGTAGTTTATAGTTGCGATGGCTTCAAGCAACTCGGCTGCCGTAGAGATAGTTACAGACGGCGTATATTTCCGCACCCAGCTGTGTACAAAGCAGCTGGTTGCGATCTTGCAATTCTTATAACCGTTTACACTGAAGAAAACTGATGATGCTGTCCGAGCAGAAGCTTGATCCGTTTGAGCATGGTATTATGCGTGAACCACTGAAAGGGTACGGCTTAAAACTAGGCTGTTGGAATATCCAGGAAAACTTTTCATGGGACTTTCGATTTCGATCGTCATTACAGGTGTATCAGATATTAGCCTTGGTGAGGGCGTCGAGAACGAGAACTTTTTCGCACAAAATACGACGGGGCAAGTTAGCTGACATAGGTAAATGTTAAACATGATGATGTTGCCCAAGCCTCGGGTAAAGTCACTATGTTTAGCTTTCTCTGATGCTGAGGGAGTTTTGTCAACAAATGTAAAATTTTTCACCTGCACACGGATGTTGATAAACATATCGGGGGCCGCTGGTGCGTTTGTTCTGAGCTTTTCTTGACACACTGGTAAAGTTCAGCGTCTGTACGGCAACAGAGCGACTTAAAACCTGCAAATAAAGCACGAGTTGTCAATTGCTTCCTTCATGAAATAGCAGACGCTCACAATTCAAGCTCCCGTTTGATGCCGTTACCCGCGGGACGCGATTTCTATCAGAAAATATACTTTTTTTTTCTTTTCGGTTCCGCGATACATCGTAGAAGACGAACCCCCGTCGTCTGCTCCCGCTCCTCGTCAGCCTCGCCGGAGCGAGGCATGACGGGATTGCATTTTGGCGCACGCCCGATTTTCTCGGTGCAGCGAGTGCACACACGCGTGGGGGGCCGCCGCTGAAACGAACTCGGGGAGTGCAACTACTCGTGGAGTGCCTGCCGAAACGAACTCGCTTTACGCCGCGAGTGGGCACGCGTGGGCACGAGTGCCGTGAAACGAACTCGCTATAAGGGTGTCGCGAACCGGTCGAGGTTCGAGTTCGACCAGGTTCGACTTTTTCGAACTTTTAGTGGAAAATTCGACGAACCTTGTATTGAGGTTCGACTTGTGTGCGCATGCGCGACGGGCTGGCCAGTTGGCTTCGGATTGGATAATGATGGCTAAGGGATGAATGAAGGGCAGCGCTGATTGGTTATTTCAGTTAATACAGTGCAAAAAAATTAAGGTATTAACCTCTTCAGGGATTAGAATTGGTTTCTTTTAATTGCAACTGTTGATAAAATAAAATAAGCCTCTGCATAAAAAAAAATTCTCCAAACCTAGACATGCTTGTGTCAAGGTCTGGCCACACTGTCCACAAAGTCGAACCGGTCGAATCTGGTGAAAAGTTCGAAGGTTCGTCGAACCGGTTCGACCCAGTCGAACCCCGAAAGTTCGACATAAAAATCCGGTTCGACAAAAGTTCGCGACACCCCTAATTTTTAGGTCGAACTTTCGGGGTTCGACTGAATCGAACCGGTCGACGAACCTTCGAACTTTTCACCAGATTCGACCGGTTCGACTTTGTGGACATTGTGGCCAGGCCTTGATACAAGCATGTCTAGGTTTGAAAAAAAAAATTATGCAAAATATTTTCTTTTATTTTATAAACAGTTGCAATTAAAAGGAACCAATTCTAATCACTGAAGAAGTTAATAACTTAATTTTTTGTTTTGTATTAACTGAAATAACCAATCAGCGCTGCCCTTAATTCATTCCTTAGCCATCACCATCCAATCCGAAGCCAACTGGTCAGCCTGTGGCGCATGCGCACACGAGTCGAACCTCAATACAAGGTTCGTCGAATTTTCCACTGAAAGTTCGAAAAAGTCGAACCTGGTCGAACTCGAACCTCGGCCGGTTCGCGACACCCCTAGTCACAAGGGGGGGGGGGGGGGGGGGGGGGAACCGTCCCGGGTGCAGCGCTCAGGAGTGTGTCGCGGCGGGCGGGGGGGAGTGGGGAGGGGGGAAACGCGGCGGGCCACGCGAGGGCGGGCGGGGGGGGGGGGGGGGGGAGGGGGGGGGTTTGTGGCGGGCTACCGCCCTGGGTGCCGCTGACCCTCGTGACGCCACTGCTTCAACATACCCGATTTACATAAGAGTACGCGGACCAAGCCCAACCTTACCACCCCAAAAAACAAACAAACAAACAAAAACACACACACACACACACACACAAAACAGTATTTTTGTTTGAATTGTAAAATAACAATTTTGTCGGATTTTTTTTCTCTATTTTGCTTTATTTTTGCGTGTAGAAAATTTTATTTATTGTGCGGCAGTTCCTCAATCGAGGAATGATTTCATAATAGGATTTATAGCTGGAATACCGCGCGCGTTGCGTTGTTCAATCTGTAGTCATCAGAGTTCTAAAATTGTTAGCTGAGTCGGCATCAAATTACCCGACTCCAACAAAAGTAGGGACATAATTTATGAAATAGAACTAGGCAGGACCACGGTACGGCCAAGTACGGCGGTAGTAATCAAACAGAAAAAAAAAAAGAGGATAATTATAATAAAAGCCTTGAATTCCTTTTTCCTCCTATTTAATCACACCGTGTGAATACGTTTCGTAATCTAAACTGTGAGAAAAGTAGAACTAAACTAGCAAACAACGATATTTTCCAACCAGCTGGCCTGGATGCTTTCTCTTGTTTATTTACCACTGCACTTTTTTTGGCGGGAATCAGCTGACCGACCACGAAAGGCCAACTTCAACCCAGATGTTCTTCTCTTTCTGTTTCTGGTTTTTCTTTTATACGTATACCGAACCCGCACTGTCTCCGACAGACCTACTCGCAACGCAATTTAGCAAGAACCCAAAAAGAAAAAAAAACAAACAAAAACAGTTAACGAATACGATCAGCTGATGGCACCGAAACGCGCCAATTTTCAACGTTGGTGGACGTGTGTGGCAAACTCCGCAAGTCGGGCTGCGCTTTCCGCTAGTCGATTTGCTTGCCCGTTCCATCAGGGGGGGCAGTGTAGTCGGTGAGTGGACGGTTGGTGTGGACGCCAGCTCCTCGGATTTTCAACAAAATTGTGCCTTTCCTCGACGTTCCGTCCAGCCCGTAACGTTATCCAATCTAACCCGGACCCCCACGACCCGACGCAAGCATCGAGGAGCGAACCCCACCACCGGACCCGCTTTGTGGCGGTTTCACACAACGTTAGGCCTAGCGCGTCCGTAGTCACTCGCTATGTCTCGTTCACCGAGATAAAAACTCCGTCAACATGGTGAATACGAGGAACAGTTCGTTGGCGGCGGAGCGTTCGACCACGGTTCCGCCGAGGCATGCAGGTAGGAATACCATCGTCGAAGCCCAGAACTCCGAGGTGAGCTAACTTCTTTTTTCCCGTCGTTCCCCCCCCCTCGAAGCGGTTTTGCAACAATGGTGTTCGCGTTCAGTCAGCTAGCCCTAAATTCGGGCTACACGTCGGTATGTTTGGACGTTTTGTCGTTTATTTCGACGAGTGAAACGTCGTGTTGCGACGTCCGTTTATACGTTATTAAATTCGGGCGATTATCTTGCAGTTCGTTATTTGTTTCCTGAAACTGGGAACGCTGCCGTAGTTGCTTCTCGAGCGCTCGCAGCTCGGTATCTTACGAAGCTATTCATCGGTTGTACCTTGCGTAACTTAATTCATAAATATTAAAATGAATTTTTTCATCACTATAGCGTTTCTAAAGAGTCCGCTGCCACTTTGTGTTACATGTGTTGATGGTATTTCTTCTATTTGACAAGATAAAATGCGGGAGGTTGTGTGTGGCTGCCTTACGGGACAGTCGAACTCTGCCTTCGCTTGAACGTCATCCTAATTTTTTCTTGCTATATTTCATTATTTCTCTCACCTAGTGAATGGCGGATTTGTGAATGCTTTGTCCCGAATCCGGTGGCGTCGTCATTTTTAAGTTTTGAGATACTGGATTCGTGCTTCGAACGGGACACTGGTCCACAGATGTCCAATGTTTACATTTGTACCATTTGTGGGGGAGTCACATGCAGGGTTGTCAGATGGCCGAACAAAAAAAAAAAAAAACGCCAAACGACTGAGAAGTATAGCCCAAATATAGCCAAAGCCGTAAAAGAAATTTAGCCAAAATAGCGAAGACTAAAAACAATTATTTTTAAGCGTTTTATTCACAATTTTTATACACATCCAAAACACGTTGCATTTGCTTTTTCAACCCTCATATGCGCCACATTTCGTGTACATTCTGTCACTTGTAAATTTTTCAAAAACATGTTTCGGAAGGATGAAAATCTGTGCAGCAATGACCCTTCCTTCGTAGGTCTTCAGAAATACAAAGCGCACAAAGACAGCTTTAAAGACAGTTTCAAACCAGAACCCCATATCTAAGGTCGTTGCCAATATATCCCACCCGTCTCTTTTCTTTGTGTAGAATATGAGTGTCCCCCATTCCGGCTTAAAGGCCCGTTCACACTCTTGCGACCGACTTCGACCGAGAGACCAGACCGGTTTTTAAGCCTTTTGCGACTTAGGACCGGATGTGATGCAGCGGAGCTTGTCCTAAGAAGTCGCAAGAGGCTTAAAACCAGTCTGGTCTCTCTTGGTCTAACTCGGTCGCAAGAGTGTGAACGGGCCTTAAGGTCCGTTCACACTCGAGCAACCGAGTACGACTGAGAGAGACCAGATCGGTGTTTAAGCCTCTTGCGACTTCTTAGGATCGGATGTGGTGCAGCGGAGCTGGTCCTAAGAGATCGCAAGAGGCTTAAAAACCGGACTGGTCTCTCTAGGTCGTACATGGTTGCAAGAGTGTGAACGTACCTTTACTGTCCTTTCTTGTGGTGGGCGACGACTGGAAGGTAGTGAATTGTTTTTGCGGTGAAGCTGTGGACTTCTTATTCTTAGGAACTTGGGTGCCTAAGGATTCTCATAATGGGCACCAAAGCGGCGTTTGGAGAATTCAGTCTAGGTTCGGGTAAAAAACGCGCTACCGGATCCGTGGTAATAGTGCAATCTGTTTGAGTTGCTCAACTGCGCTGTGGGGAAACCGCTGAAACTCTGCAAGCATTGCTTCTCTGCGCGTTGTGAAAACCCCGAAGTTTGTTGAAGTTTGAAACTCTTCTCTCGACTGGACAAAAGCGAAACAATTTTCTTTGAAGCCAATAAGAAGTTTGAAAATTAACTACTAGTCGAACCTCAAAGTTCGACGTCGAACCTGAGGTTTCGACACAAGTTCACAGAATCTTTAGAAATAGCCCCAAATAACCACATAGCCAACAACGAAATTTTGATGCAAACTAGAAAACAATTTAGCCCAATTTGGCTATATATAGCCCATTCTGGCAACACTGGTCACATGGCAATAAGTCTCATAGGGTCACGTGGTACGTCACGTCCAAAGGTCACGCGAGTTCAGTTGTGTCCCATTCTTGCCGCTCCGCACATCGCCCATGTTTTCCAAAAAAACATTTTTTTAGTTGGGAAATGTCTTAGGAAGGCCTTTATCTCATGTTTAATTTTGCTTCCTCAAAAACTTTTTGATTGGCAATGTGTTGAGTTTCCTGCTTGGATGAACTGTCAAAAAAGTACTTATAGCAGTGTTTTCTTTTTTTTCCACGCATACTGGTGACCTCAAATGGATCGCTGTCATATGAATATATTTGTGCATTTCTTTTTTTCTTTCCCTTAGCAAATATTCATCCTCTTTTCAAGCAGTGTCACATAGATGTTGCAAAAACCCTAAACTGGGCCGATAATATCTTTAAGTACTTGCCGCCACGTTACAGCTAATGGGGTCTCAATGGCCGTCGACGCCAAGTCAGCACTTGACGTTAATCAAGCAGAAACGCTGAGAGTCACTCCTTATAACACCATAAAAAAATAAATCCGCATATAGAGCCTATTGTGAATGCCAGGCTCGATTGAATTGAACAAAATATTGAGTGGAGGATTGAATGCATTCTGTTCTTTTGCTAGGAATCAAGCGATGACGAGGAATCAAGCCACGAATTGTCATCAGGTGAGATAACTGCTTCTTTTCAGAGTCTTAACTAAGGTATTTTTCGTGCTGCAACAACCCCGTCGTGAGAGTTGCACTGTTGTTCGTGTCAGAACAGCAGCTCCGTTCGAATTCAGAACAGCAGCTCCCACTCTCGTGGGAGCTACTGTTCTGAATTCTGGAGGTTAGGGTAGAGTGCGGTAGTGGAGACACACAAAGAGTTTAAACACGAGCCAAGGACCTTTTTCACTAAAAAAAACTATTTTCTCAGTAAAAGAAATCAAGTGGAGTGCTTCTTTAAACTGTCAGTGCTTTGTTCTACTTCTAGCCACTAAGGCTGCAAGTGAGGTCTCGTGCTTTGGGACAAAAGCATGCCTCAGTTTCGGACTTGGAAATGCCCGAGAAAGAAAGCAGCCGTAGCTCGCAGCTTTTGTAGAAATGGTGTCCCGCTACGAAAGGTGGAGTGTCTAAATAAACTAAAAAGGCCTATGGCTGCTTGCATTAAGAGTTCTGCAGCAAGAGGGTGCAAACTCCAGTGATGTGATTGCTGCACCAAGGGGCTAACCCTGATACATCCTGCTACATTTGGTCAAAATATGGGTAATCTGCGCCAAGCCTGTGCCAAAAGGGCCAATTTCGGTCGCCTTTCAAGGCCAAAACTAAACTGAGCACCGTAATTGAGCATGCATGAGTTAGATGGCGCAAGGCCGCTCAACATAAAGTCCCCTACATCAATCGTCCATCCTGTCTTGCATGGTTTTTCCCACCGTGTCTCGTTTCGCGCTTTTGTCGTTTCAGAAGTCTCGTTTTGAGTCTTTTTTTAAAATTTTTGCAACGATAGATGCAAGCGTGTGCGGACGCTCCGACACTAGCGTGCCGGGTACCAGCCATGCCGTCAGGCTGTGAAACGAAACCACGTTTTTGCGCGGCGGGAGTGAGCTGAAGCACTCGCTCCTGAAAGCAACGGGCGTGGGAATACTATTTTTGGTCCCTGCGACAGTCACCGTGGTCGCATGATGTCGAGTGGTGCCGTCCCTAGAACGCTGGAGATGTGGCGCTTTCTAAACTGAAACGTAAGAACCGCCGAAAGGTCATCAACATTCCTGTTCTTGTCTAGAGCATATGCTACTACACAAATTCCTCTTTAAATCAATGACTGCTGTGTCGAAGTATTGATTACCTAGGTTTCCCTTGGTGGGCCCTGCAGGGTTCACTTGTGAAAGCAGGTGTTTGGAGAGTGGCGTCTCCACGGACCCCGAGCCCCGCAGGGGGCGCCTGCACCTTGTGTGCTAGGTGCTTGGTGAGTAGCGTCACCACGGACCCCAGCCACGTGGGCCACCATACTCGCACGCAGGGGGCACCTACTTTAGTAGGTGCTTGGTGAGTGGCGTCACTACGAACTTCGAGCCAAGTGGGTTAAGGCCCCTGTATAAGAAAGGTAGCGACTTCTCCTCCCTCCTCTCCCTCTTTTTTCTCTCTCGCCCGCGGTACCGAAAGCACGCAAAATGTGACGTCTTTGGTCCTGGGCTTACTACTGGTCATAGCCGCTAAAAGCTTCTTTTTAGTCGAAATACCAAATATATGTGGCACAAACCGTTTCAATTATTTATATAAGTAGTTTTTGTTCAGTATTTTAGATCAAAAAAGAAACGAATGCAGTTTTAGGGAAACAAGAAATGACCCCTCGACATGCCTGCCACCAAGCGGTTGAAAAGGCGGCGCATACTAGAAAGGAGTAGTGGGATCAGGCGCCGTCACGGAAAGGTCCCGGATGTATGCGGCGGCGCTGCGGTCGTTGGGGCAGGAGGATCCGACCGGCTCCGAGCGTTCCGAAGGCCTTCGGCGAAAAGCTTTGTCTGGCGGTTTGGCCGTTTCGCGGTATGGCAGCGCAAAGTAGCTCCCATTCTGAACTGATCTTTACCCCGTGTTTGCTGTTGTTTGTGGCCAATGAAGTGGCATGCTGAAGTAGTATTTAATCGTGCAGTAAATACAATGACAGCTGCTCTGGCTGCCCGCTGCGCACAGTTTATCCAGAACACGCTTTAATGGCGCCCTCTCGCGCCGTCGACATGGAGTGCGGCAGCCGTGAGCGCTCGATGAGCTCACTGCTTCTCTTCTAGTTCACGGCCACTCTCAAGCAACCAAAGACGTCACGAGGGAGGTTATTTTTTGCTTCTTTTTGTAATTTTAATTTGCCTATAGACCGTTTTACTGAAAGAGGGCGAGAGAGAAAAGGGGAAAGGGCTACCGGCGCTTTCCCCCTTTCTGATTGTGTAGAAAGAGTGAAAGTCCCGGATGAGAGGCTTGGCCGGTGTTGGGCGTCTGCTGTGCCCCAACTTCGTTCGCGCTTTCTTTCCTGTTTTAAACTCACAAACTTAATTAGAGCCAGAGGCTTCGATGGCGACAGTCCCCCGGTCATCGGGACACCATTGCTGGGTCATAGGGTGCAGGAATAAAAACAGAAAGCATAGAATACTGTCGAGGACATTTGTAGCTTGCAAGGAACCCGGCAAGGCGAGAGCGGCTGCAATGTTTTTGAGCTCCATCGCTTTCCCCTAGACCCCTGTCTCCGACGGCAGTGAATTGCGTCCGTAAACCGAAAAGGCGTTTCCTCAACGCCATCCTCTCGACTTCGCTCGGAACGTTTCGTGAATGGAGCGCGTACCGAACGCTGTACCGCCCATGAACATGGGGTACGCTCGCAATCTGCGTGCGAGTTTTCTCATAATAACTGCTGTTTCAGCTTGTAAAATTCCGTAATTGATTTATGTTAATAGTGATAATTTGCAGTGCTGACTGACTCGATTTTATCATCTACAGCACTTGAAGGCTCATTTCCCCCGCCGGGTGAGGCTGGAAATTGTTGAAAACGCAGTTCTATTGTTTGTTTGTTTTTTAATCGCGATCTCCTGCGCGATACCAGAGAGCCGGCAAAAGCGCTCCTTGAAGTGCCGCTGGTGGGTTGTTTCCGTTCACTAAGGCGCTTTGAAGCGCTTGATAGTCGCTGCAGGAACGTCTCGTGTGTTGCGATCTGCGTTTTCGAGCCCAGTGTGCACGTTTCTTTGTTTGAGTCATGGCATCCGCCAATGTGGCGACGGGGGGAACAGCGGCAGCGAACGTGCCAGCGATAGAAATTGGTGGTGAGAACTCAAAATATTGCATCAAATAGTAAAATAATTCGTGGCTGCTTCGAGGCTTTCTGCGGTTCGATAAAAGTATGTCTAGAGCGTCTTCGTCGTTCATTCACAAGGAGATATAACAGGGACACGAAGATAAAAACAGCACAGCAAGACGATATGTAGCAGCTTCGGGCGTTTACAAAGTTAATTGAGGTTCCCGTATCGTGTATCGCTTGTTGATTACAAATAAAAGCGGCTACGTTGAAATAGGCCCAGTGCAAGCAAAAATGTATAAATGGTTTATCATTTCCAGTCATGCGGAAAGCAATGGAGCTTAAAAACATTCCAGCCGTACTTGCCTTGCCGGATTCCATGCAAGCTACGTAGGTCCTCGGACAGTATTCGACGCTTTCTGTTGTTATTCGTGCACCCTATCACCCAGCAATGGTGTCCCGATGACCGGGGGACTGTCGCCATCGAAGACCACGGCTCTAATTAAGTTTGGGAGTTTGAAACGTAGAAGAAAGCGCGAACGAAGTTGGGGCACTGCAGACGCCCAACACCGGCCAAGCCTCTCATCCGGGACTTTCACTCTTTCTACACAATCAGAAAGGGGGAAAGCGCCGGTAGCCCTTTCCCCTTTTCTCTCTCACTCTCAAAATGGCGCTACCCACGATAAAACGGTCTATAACTTTTAAAGTAAAGGGAATTTCGAGATTATAAAAGTTTCACTAAGTTACTACACTCAGTGCGCTCAGGTTCGGTGCAAATTAAAAATTAGTAAAAGTCATTGCAGGGCCCCTTTAACACAGACCTACCACAGAGGCTACAGACAAGAGCGGGCAGCTTTGACTCGGGCTCCCGCTGCACGAGCGTTCACGCAGCCGATGCGCGATCGAACGTAAGGATCCTCCAGTTGTAAAGTTTGCGTTTAGTTCATGTTAAGCGGAGATTTCTGTGGTCTAGATAATAATAAAAATAATGTTTCCCTTTTTAACGATACCCGTCCTTGGCGTGCGCAGCGTGTCTTAATAGTTGCGCAAAAACGATCTACTAACATTTGATCCCTATTGCTGCAAAGGCGCGGCTGGGAGCCTTCACCCTCTCCTCGGCATAACGAAATCTGAATATTCTGCTTAAAAAAATCTTAGCAGAACGAGTGAAAACCCAAACTATCCGCTGACACCTACAACTTTTCAGAGCTTTATGGTTTTTAAAATTTCTTGTGATGCCTTGTGTGTACTTTGTTTTTACCAGACATTGTCAGCTTACTCGGCTCATTACAAAGACTTTGTAAGCTTACTTGGCTTATTAGAGGCAGGGCATTATCTCTTCACAGCAGTGAACCCTTTATGGATTGCCGTTTCCCCAACTAAAATAATCTCGTTTCATTTATCAAGCGATGACATGGAACAATTTTGGCTCTTGAAAGCATTTTTTTATTACTGCAAATAACCGCCACATTGGCCTTCAAGTTCTGCTGCCAGTGACTGTAAAAAACTAAAGCTAAAATTAAGTCACAGGCAATGCATATTTTTATTTTACAACACACCAATCCACAAGGACTGAAAGACAGGTTATTAAGGCTACTTTTCACAGAGTTGCTTCGCTGTGCTCAGACCGCTTGTGAGGGCCTGAGTCATAATTCAAAGAGGATTGCAGTAATCCTGTTACAATCTAATTCACGCCGTCTCAAGTGATCTCACTGTAGCACAGCGAAGAGCAACTGTGTGAAGCAGCCTGTCTATGCAGTCTTCTACAAGCTCCATCTCCAGGCCAGCACTACCTTTTGCTTTTGATAACAAAGAGATTGCACCGCGAAATGATGGCAAACGGCAACAGGTGTGTGCTAAAGACGAGGTACATGAAAACGTCAAGGCACGTATACTAGAAGCTGAATCT